GCTTTGCCGTTCACATTTGTCACCTTCGCTTTTCTGCTGCTATTTGTGTGTGTGTGTGTGTGTGTATTGAGAGCCGGGAGAAAATCTTTTCATTCAACGTGTCAGTAGTTAATTGGATGAGTTGTGTGCTAAAAGCATTATAAATGTAGTGGGAATTGGATTGGATTGTGTCGTATACTTAAAAGGCAGGAAGACTCGGAAGCGACTCTCCGTATCACGACTCGTAAAATTAAAACTGAACCATTAAAAAAAGGGACAGACAGACAGACAGAAAATATTTGAAATTTTTTAAAGTATGTATCATTTGTTCACAGCGTGTGAGAAAAGTGTCTTGAATATGTCGTGCCCAAATGGGAAGCTTCTTAGTATCAAATGGGCTCTATATGGTCGCTCTTCCAAAGACGTCTGCCCTCATCCTTTCATGGCGGTGCCTTGCGGAGACGAATCCAGTTCGTTAATCAAGGTGAAAGAGCTGTGTGAAGGAAAGCAGTCCTGTTCTTTTACTGCTGGTACTGGCACCTTTGGCAATGACCCTTGCAAGCGCCACTACAAGTACACGGAAGTAAAATATTTATGCCAAGCGTCGTAAACGTGCATGAAGGCCCTGTTTCAAGACGCAATTTTACTTGTAACTTGCAATGCAATGTTGTAAAGGGCAGAAAAAGTTGCCATAGACGAGCTTCTGATTTCCGCAACGTTGCAAAGCAAGTTGCAGCGTGTAACACCTATGCCGCGAGCTGGAATGCAATCACTGTCGCAAATAACCAACCAAAGCACAGCTCTTCCATATCCCCGTTGACAACAGACCAAGAAAGCGTTATCTTGCGTTGCAAGTCGCGAAAAAAGTTGCACGCGTCTGACATCTCAACTGCAACTTGCAATACTCTGCTCTCGTTATCATTGCATTGCAAATTGCAAGAAAGACTGATTCGTGTTACAGGGCCTTAAGGTGTCTGGTTACTTTTGAACCTTCGATTTGAGCCCACGATGAGTGCGCGCTCAAAAACCGCTGAATAATCTACACGATTTTTTTGAAGAACCATACACGTTTTGAACTTCAAGTGGGCAAATCCCTCAAATTTTGCACGGGACTATACTTTTTAAAAGCTTATTCGATTAAACTTCTAAATGAGAATTCAACCAAAAAATTCTTTTTGTCATTTGGAGATACTAATGTAATTGTCCTTACTTGCATCATGCTGATTGACTAGAGATGATATACACAAGCAGGTATGAAAAAACATATAAAAACAAATGAAGACAACTACTTAGGCCCCGTCCACACGTATCCGGAAATTTTTGTATCCGCAAATTATTTTTTGCGGATACGAAAATGTTTGMGTCCACACGCAGCGTATTCGAATCGTTTTCACCGTCCACACGTATCCGTCTTCGTAAAATTTGCGGATACGGACACAAAAATTTGCGGACACGTGTGGACGCAACCCGTATCCGTAAAAAAAAATTGCGGATACAAACATTTGCGGATACGTGTGGACGGGACCTTAATCACGATATAGAGCGAAGGCATTTAACTCGTGAAATAAAAATACTAGTCAATGTGTAATAGTAAAATAGACACAAAAGAAGGCAATGGAATTAGGGTCTGCTAATGTGTATTAGTCTAACATCTATTTCACGGGTTTAATGACTTTCCTCTATCATAAAACTCGAATGATTTTCACATGACCGTGAAAGAAAATAGACCATTTAGTTTGTAATAGTTGATAAAGAACAAAAGAAAATCATTGGTTTAGAGTCTACTACTAACTATTAGTTTGCCTATTCTTTCACGATCATATGAAAATCACTCTCGTATAAATAAATCTATTTCCAATCTTTTTGCTATGGGACTCAAGCAAAAATTCATTGTCTGACTCATGAATTTCACAGAATTTCAGTAATCGCTTTGCAATTCGTGCTATATATTCAGTGGTTTTTTTGTTTTTTAAATTCAACATGGAATTCCCTTGTCAGCCAATGAATTTAAGGCACCTTTCAATTTTAAGCCCCAGGGTGTGAAGCGGGGGAAAGGGAAATTTGAYATTTTGAATATTAAAATTTTCAAATTCCCCACCCCTGGACCCCTGGACAACTGATGGAAGTCAAATTCCCTCCCTTAGTACATATGTTTATTGTATTTTTCCGGCTTTTTCAAGACGGCGGTCACGACAAATTCTCTACTACTTTGGGGGCATTGAATAATATCAATCAATTCCCCTGGGATAACCCCCCATCACAGTGGCTTTTTATAACACTGATAGGTGCATATATATGTGAATATCAATTTTATAAACATACGTATATACTCTTAACTTATTTGGAACTAAGTTGATGTACAGTTATGTGCAAAATGCCAAATAAAATATGTCTGTCTGTCTGTCTATATAGTCTGTCTGTCTGTCTATGTAGTTTCAGGTCCAGCCATATGTATACACTTATTTCAATAAAGTGAGTCACCTGAAAAGCTATAAAGCTAAGGCCGACAAGGATCATGGGTAGATTCATTTTACACGTTCAACCGCTTGATAACTGTTCATGGACTTGCGAATCTTTTACCGGTTATTACAGTCTCACCTCTTCTGAGCACCATCGAGCTGCAGTTTGTATTAAAAAAGCTTTGTATATATATGCTTGTTTGATATTAAAAGTTTCCCATGATGCTCGGTGATCTCAGCTTTCTAGGTCATGGTGACTAACTTTATTGAAATAAGTGTATGAACATATATATAGTTACATATTTAATATAAGTCATGATTTTATTCCTTAAATCTAGGTATACAGTTCTTTTATTTAGCCGGTTCACACTGATAGTTCAAGAAAACGAACCATGAGATCTTAAAATTTTATTCAAGTTTTCAAGTTTAGATTTACCTTTGATCTCCAAATATTTGCAGTCTATTTTGGCTGCGTTGCTTCCATGAAGAGTCCATGTTAATGTGTTAGTGAGAAGGCGTAGAGTTCCGGGTTTTTTCTTGTATTTCGTATTGATTACTTCCAACAACTTCGAGGCTTCATTGTCAGCCGCCATCTTGGATGACGGCATGTTTGAAACCGCTGGTCGGTCGGCCTGTGGTAAAATAAACCACAGGAGCCCCACTGTTGTATTTTTACCTCAAACTAAATTTCAAAGGGGGTCCTGTAGGGGAGACTCAATCCATGGTTCGCTATAGGTTGCTATCAATAGACGTCACTTCCGGTAATAGCTCTTTTTTGATGGCTTGTAGAATCCTGGTGGTTATTTTGATCTCTTGTTTTCTGGT